CTCTCCGGCCAGATCTCTTTCGAAAATTCGAGTCGATCCCCGATCCGATTGTTTACAAAGAATCGTTCATCCTCGTCGAAAGAAAGTCGGCGAGGACGGAGGCAAAAGCTCGAGCCGAGCTCTTCAGCTCTGCACACCTATACTTATTTGTAATACGATACGAACACAGGACACAGGGGAGGGGGTAGAAGGGGAAGGAGAGGGCGGGAGAGTTCGCGCGTTCACGGTGACGAGGAGCCGTGATTCACTACTAAAAGTAGCAACGAGCGCAATGCACAAGCAATTTATTAATTAGTTAAACATAGTCGCGAGTCTCGATCGGCGCGCGCGCGCACGTTTTGGACTCTGTTCACGATTCGAAGGGTAGTTTTTTTTTTTTTTTTTTTTTTTTTCTCTCCAAATGTCATCTCAATAGTCCCGGAAAGGAAAAGGAAAAGACCTGTGCTAAGCTGCTACGTATGTTCGTATCTACTTTCGAACGACGCTCTAGCAGAGCGGTACTCTCTCTAGTCTGTCTCGTTCCCGAAGTAGAACGCCTACCCTTCACTCGTGAGAGTCCCGTTCGGATGGCGTGCGAGTTGAAATCGCGCGTCGATCGAAGCCACGCTTCGAACAGAGATTCATCTCGAAGAGACGGCCAGACAGACAAGCAAACGAAACGAGCAAACAGAAGAGAGCATTCGAGAGAGAGATTTCGCGGGATTCGAAAGGGGGTAGTGGCGAATGTGCGCGTGAATGCGACGAGGAGAGAAAGAGAGATAGAGGCAGAGAGAAGAAGTGAGTAAAAGGAACACGTATGTGTGTGTATATGTGTATTGTATGTATCTATATGGACGAACGAGTGAGTTGCGTGCGAGAAAGGGACAGAGAGAAGAAGTGACAGAACGAAGCAATAAAGAGAGATAGAAGGGCAACTGCACCAAGGAGAGACCAAACTCGCTTAAAGAAAGATAATTACTTACTTGCTTTTTATTTATTTTAATTACTAATCATTGATTGATCGATTAATTATTGTATTTATTGACGCGGAAGATTGAGAGGCGCCTGGGATTCGCGTTGCACGCGGAAAGAGAGAGAGAGAGAGAAAGATCGATCGATCCGACCACCCCTCTACCAGAAAACAACGGTCAAAATACATCGACGAGATACGAGCAATGAAAATATTTTACACGTCGAAGAATTCAATCCTTATTTAATCCTTATTTTGATAGGAAACAAACCGAGTTTGGGATAAAAGAAATCGGAGGAGACCACGGTGAGAAGCTTCCACGCACAATTACGCGATCGACGGATTACCAATCGGATTACAACCCTCTCCCTTCGGCCGATGATTCTGTCGTCGTATACATCGAATCTCTCTATCACTTCTATCATGNNNNCAAAGAATAAAATATAGAAAGAATGAGAGTGGGGGGAGGGAGGGGGAAGGGGAGGGAGAAGAAAAAACGATCGGAACGAACAAATATTGGAATATTGGTGCAAGCTCTCGCGTTTGCGGAGCCCGATCGAATCGCGCGGGACGAGGGGTGTGAAAAATCTGGTCGATCGCACAGACTCGAGAGCAAGAGAGGTCTTCTCTTTCTTTCCGCTTTGTTGGATCCTCTTGAAATGGAAACGCGAGGAATCGCGACGATGGACGATTGTACGATATATGATACGTCGACGGACGGATTCTCATCGAGACCGATTTTGAAACGCATTGGCGGGCCAAGGGATAAGGAGGGATGGAAAAATGAAAAGAAACGAGACGAGACGAGACGAGACAGGACGGGGAAAAAGACCGTGACAATATATACATATATACATATATATATACATATATATATCTATATATATTTGCAAGATATTTTGCGAGCAGGGCTTTTTTATCTATTTTATAGTAATCTCAGCTTAAATGGATTGAGAGAGAGAGAGGGAGAGAGTGAAATTGTTTTGCTAAACAAGAGAAATAATAAAAAAAAAAAGGAATAAATATCACAAACACGATGAACAATAAACAGGAGGACGAAGGAGAGGATAGGAAGTAATGTAAAGAGAGAAAGAAAGAGAGAAATATATATATACATATATATATATATATATATAAAATTGAGACAAAATGGATAGGAGTGAAGAAAGAGGGGGAGAGAGAGAGAGAGAGGGAGAAAGAGAGAGAGAAAGAGAGAGAAAAAGATAGAGGAAGAAAGAGATTTAATGCGCAGCTGACAAACGGTTTGTAAATTGCGTACATAAAAAGATAGTTAAATAACCGTTGTCTAAAAGTGGAGACGGTTTCACTATGTCTTATACTCTATGTTTTGTTTGTTTTGCGCCTTAAAGCTTGCATTATTAATCTTATTATAATAATAATGATAATTATCCCAATTATTATTATTATTAATTATTAATTATTAATTATTAGTTATCATCATCACCTTCATTATCATTATATTCTTATTATCATTATTATTAATTTTATTATTATTAATTTTATTATTATTATTAATT